TACTCGTTTTCACTACTCCCCATTTTAAATCTTTCCCCCTTCCTTTTTGTCCCACCCATCCAATAACGATTTTATCATTATTATTATTATTATTATTATTTCAACGCCATTTTTTTTCTAAGGGTCGTTTATCATTATAATAAGCAATGAATTTGTTATTCGAATATTCTCACGTGGTTTCTCGTCGTTATTATTATTATTATTATTATTATTATTTTACGTCGAATAATATATTTATTGAGAATGGTGATAATTTAAAAAAAGTCTCTCTCACACGTGTCCAATACACGTGTTTTTATAAATATTTAAATATAAATGGCGTCACGTCGTAATCAATGTTTTGTAGCAGTAGTAGTAGTAGTAGTAGTAGTAGTGAATATTTCTCTACTTTCCTTTTCAAAATAATAATAATGATAATAATATTGCGAAGCGTAAATTGTATATTTTTTTTTGCTGTTGTTGTTGCTGTTGCTGTTGTTTGCCCGCTTTTAAAAGCGAGTAAAAGTTCACAAAATGTTAAAAGGTCAAAAAGTTTATCGTGTTTAACGAAATGGTATTCACGCTATTATTGACGCTTTGTTGTGTGTGCGAACTGTGAGACTGGAAAATCCAGACAAAAACTTGAGCAATGCGGAAAAATTTCATAGGAAAATAAATAAAAAAAATTTTTTATCTATTGACACGATAGTCGTCGTCATCATCGTCTCCCTCACAAAAATCTACGTCATATATATATATATTTAAAATAATCATCATCGATATTATTTAAATAATTAAAATTTTTTTTTAGATAAGGGACAACATTTTTTCTTTTATGCTATTATTATTATTATTAATAAATTTTGAAAATATCCCTGTTTTTTATACCCGGTAAGTTTTTCTCCAGGATTTTTTTTTTTTTTCAAAAGAGGGATAGATTAAATTTACATAATGTAAAATAATAATATTTAATATCAATGAAGATTACTATTATTATTATTCGTTTTTCTTTATCAAAAAGATGAAAAATTTATTGCCATCAAGTTTGAATATGAAAAAGAGTGAGAGAGAAAGAGAGAGAGAGAGAGAAAAAGGATTTTACCGAAATTAATTAATTTTGCGGTTTTATTTTAAAATTTTTTTAAAAATTCCTTCTAGAATATTCTATACATTATCATGGAATTTACGTATAAAAAAAAAATAAAGTATTAAATATCAATAATAAACGTGAAACAATTTTTAACTTTGGGTGAAAAAAATAAATCGTCGTCAAAACTCTTTCCCCAAATTTAAATAGTTTTCTAAAACCACGATATAAAATTCTTTTTTACCTTTGAAAAAATTATTAATGATGATAAACGACTTATGAGAATTTCACGCGTTTACAAACAGTCACTCACCCATAACTTTTCCTTCAATTTCATATTTATTTATATATATACGGTGAACATGCTATGTAAATAAATTTATGTACTTATTTATTTATTTATCATTATTATTATTATTAATATTATGTAATTCGAATTTATTAAATATGAGAATTGAATATTAAACATGTTGAAAAATATTTAAAATATTTTTTTTATAAATATACTCGAATGAAAAGAAAAAGAAAAAAAAATTTTTTTTTTTTTCTTTTTAATTTTTCAGTTCTGGAGAAAATTAAAATTATGGAGAAATGTTAAAAAAAAAAATTATTGATTTTATCGATCGCATAAAATTTTCACGTATAATAATAATAATAATTATTTGAAAAAAAAAACAAATACGTTAAGTGAAAACGTTTTCAACATTTATTTATTCTTCCGTTGGGTTTTCATAATAGTAATAATAATAATAATAATAATGATGATGATGATGATGATGATGATGATGATGATAAATAAAAGCATTAAAATTTATTGTGCAATTAAATGTATGAGTAGTAGCGAAGTTTACGTGGAAAAAAAAAAAAAAGAAAAAAGCAAAACAAAACAAAAAATTTAATCGCCATATTGATTTTATATACGTATAAAAACGTCAATCGTATGAATACAATAAAATTTTATTTATTATCCTATACTCACGCACACGTGCACGCACTCACACACGTACATATGAACCATTCCAGAAAATGTGGGGGGAATGAAAAAAGTTTTTTAAAATTTGAAAATGAAATAAAGACGGTAATGAAAGAAAGAAGGAAAAAAGAAAAAGGAAAAAATGCATTCATGTTGTTTTCTTTTTTTGAATGTTTTATATTTGTTTTAAGTTAAAAAAAAAAAAAAAAAATGTCTTTTGTCTCTCTCATTCACGTCGGTATAATTTTAACGAGTTTAACAAAAGTTTCAAAAACAACCAAAA